ATACTTAAAAAGATTTACTTTTAAACTTTAAGATGGTATAATATACACAAGGGTGAATTTAGGACAAAATTGATAGAGGTGAAAGCGATATTAGTGTTTAAAATTTTATATGATCTTTAATTTGTAACATGAAATATATTATTATGTAATATGTATATACAATGTGATATTTTTGTAGAATAGCATCAATATTTTCTAATATTTGTTTATTTTAATACCGATGATTTAGTTTTCACAAAAATTAAAAAAGTTGTGATATTGAAAATATGTTTAATATTTTTTAAAAAAATTAAACATATTAATGATTAGCTGATTTTTTTTATTTTACTTGTTTTATGTATATATGAATTGTAATACTTTAAAACTATTAAATTTTGTAATAATTTTAAGTTTAATTTAAATCAAATTTAATTTCATTTACACCAGATCTAATCAAATCAGATCCAATCAGATCAGAAGAGATTCAATCAGATCAGATCAGATCCGATCAGATCAGATCCAAATATCCAATCAGATCAGATCAGATTTAGTCAGATCAGATCAGATCTAATCAGATCAGATAAGACCTAATCAGATCAGATCCAATCAGATCAGATCAAAACTTCAAAAATTCAGATCAGATTCAATCAGACCAGGCGTACGGAACAGAGCCTAAATCTGCAGAAACTGTGGATGGTATGGCTGAATTTGATGAAATGCTTTTGAACAAATATCTTAATTAATCAAACAAAAGATGGCACTAAACGAGCACTAAAGTTCAAATCAAAGAAATTATAAGTGAAAAGTTTTATTTTTAAAAAGAATAAATAAATTTATTGCGTTGATATTTTAAATTTCATTGGATTTGGAAAAGTGCGTGTACACAGATCTTTACCTTTACTTGATAATACGCAATCGAAAAACTGTTCAAGTGTTCCCGATGAATCTCATTTTCGTCTCAAGAAGTATTTATTAAATGTCTAAAATATGATGCGTGTGAAATTAGGATTTTAAAATATGTCGTAAATAATCAAAATGTGAGGTAATAATATTCAAATTTAAAATTCTTTTTGAATTGGAAAATGACATTACAACAAATGCGAACATAATCCACAAATGAAAAAGCAATCCATAACATGCTTGTCTGGCTAATACTTCCAAAACAAATGCATCCATAAACACAAAACAGCTACTTCAAATTTCTGTCTTAACTAATTAATCTTTATCCATCTCTAATAATCTAATCATAATTAAATATTAGTTGGGGTGGGGGTGGGCCACATGCACACTGAGAATATATGGTGCAGTGGGTAATTGAATTGCATTTTATGGTTAGGACAAAGTAATGTGGGGGTGGACTTGTGGGACACTTTACTTCTGTGGAAGCCAATTAAGGGTATGTGTGTATGTATCTATCTATCATTTCCTCTTCTTTTTTTTTCTTTCTACATGGGGGGCATGTGGAACTTGTCAGGTAGAGTAGATCATAATATGAAGTGGGTTTTTCATTTATGTACTGTCACTCCCTCCAATGTATATGCCCTTTTTGGTCCTCTCCAAAATCCCCACCTCTCTAGGGCGGAGCATGATACGATATGAGACACGAGATTTCATTTTCGTATCCAAACCGTACTGAATGTTTTAACATGGTTTGAGATTTTATGTTGTATTGACCGTGATCCCAACACTTTGGCATCGAATGGCCTGAGATGATTTGGTTATGACTTTGATCTCGATACAAATCGTGATGGATATATATATATGTATCTACTTTACGTTTAAAAATGTAAGGGGATCTTCTTGTAGAAATTATCACAAACTGAATTGATCGTATTATTGACAAGCACTGAATCTATATACACGTGGACATGAAAATCTAATATATATTTTTCATACATTGAAGTCAAGGTTTACAAATTTTAATTAAGAAAAATCATTTAAAAGATCATTTCCGAATGGAGAGATTACCTAATACGAAGTATGATTCTATGATTCTTAAAGTGCTACTATACATTAGAGATTGAAGAATAGTTGGATAAAAATTGGAAGATAAAGCATCAAAAGAGTAGCACTATATAAAAAACCAAGTTCGAGATCAAAGAATAGAGCTTCTGCAAATATCAACCTATGAATTGCAAATTTCACTTTTTTCTACTAATCTGCGATCAAAACTTATTTTATCACCTATCAGTGACCATCTGACTGGGTTCGAGAGGACCTCGGGGATGAGGTTCATACTTATTAGTACTTCCTTCGTCCAAAAAACTTCCAATTTGATTTAACACAAATTTTAAGAAAATTAAAAATGTATTACTGAAAGTGATGAAGATAAAAATATTTGTGAGTCACTCAAAAACTTTTCAAAAAAAAAAAAGAAATGGTTTTTTTGAGAGTAAAGGATTATAAAAAAACAAATAAACAATGATACTCCTCCGTAACTTTAAGGCCATGCGGCCCATGCCTCATGCAGTCATGACACTGCCATGATGAACTTTAATTTTACTGACTCCGTTTCTAAATAAAGTTCTATTTTTGACTTTTTGAGGATTTAATGAAGAGATATTTTTGTGTTGACTTTCTAAAAATACCCTTGATGTGATGTGTAAAAGTAAGATGTGATAGGTAGATTATTAGTAAAAAGGTATGATGTGATATTTAGGGTATGAAAAAGTAAGAGGTAAAAAGGGTTTTTTAAGGGAAAAGAGAAATTTATTTAGGGACAAAGAAAAAACATAAGTGGAACCTTATTTAGGGACGGTTCTTTTGATCTTTTTATAATAGGAGAATATATAGATGTATGTATGTACTACTAGTAATTCAAAAGTGTGATTTTATGGTTCCTGCCTTTTTGGTAGTGACTATCTGTCCAGCTATATCATTGAATTGCAGCAATAATAATAGCA